AACGATAGCTGGAGATAGGCACCAGCGCCCCTCCCGACCCCACTGAGGGACAAGGGTGTAAAGAAAATGGATGGATGGAACTTTCCCACATGCTAAGTAATCTAGCATATAGCTTAGTTATCATGTAGCATCTAACATAGTGATTTTGCTGCATTAGCATTTAGTTTTGACAGCATGTTTCTTTTGCTTGTAACAAATTCATCATGCTTAATCTTTCATTAATATCATGAGTTAGCAAGTTAAACTCCTCGACAGCACGTAGCATGAAGAGCTAGCATAATTTGGCTAGTCACTCTGTGGTAAAGTTAGCTTCCTTAATTAGCATCTAGCATAGTTAGCATTCTTTTTGTGACTGAATAAGGTCGCCATGTCTACTTTGCTTATGTTAAGGTTATGGTGCTGAGTTAGCATGTCAAAGTTACGTTAGCATAAAAACATGCTTAATTAGCATGTAGCAGATTTATAATATTTGGTAAGCATTTAGCTAGGTTATCACGGTTAGTCATGATAACTTAGCTAAAACTACCTGGTATCTGCTAGCTAAATAGCTATCTAGATAATTTCCTGTACTGATCTGAATATGATCGTTTGACCTTGAATTATCTGAGCACAGTGGATCCGTTTATTTAGGGAAATCAAATCATTTCTGTTGAATTAGATTTTATGGTGGATCATTTCTTGTTGAACTAAAAATAACATATTTTTGCTCCGATTCATATTTCTATGAAACATTAAAGTGTGAGCTGTGGTGATGTCATTCAGAGCTGACACACAGAGAAGACTTTGACCCGAGCATTTACAGCTCTGCTTGAACTTTGACCTTTCAGATCAGAATGACTCAAAACGTCGTTCCAGGTAAAAACTGTTCAGATTTCATTCCTCATTGAACACAGCAGCTTCCTGTAGCACCAGATCAGTGGATCAACGTTGCAGTTTCTGATTCCTGAGAAAAGAGAAAAGTCTCATCCAGTGAGACTTTATTTACAGGAAATTCAGCGTTACTGGTTTTTATGGTGCCGCGCCTAAAAGAGCAGAACAGAAAGATCCAGAAAGCCACAGAATCCGGACAACGGCTGCAGGATGAGGTTTGTTCCCTCAAACACTTTCAGCTTTTTGTTTTTTCTCATCTCTTCTTAAGGATTTCTCCTCGCCTCTTTACTCATCTGTACTACCGCATATCAGGGCCCTTTTAGATTCAACCAAAAGAGCATGTTTCTGCCGAAAGGTTCAGAGATTTTAAGATTAATCTCAGGAATTTTCTGACATCTTTTCCACTGTTTTTTCTAGCAGATTTCTTGGATTGATCTCAGATTTTCTGAGTTTCAAAAATTAAATATCGACTTTAGAAACTCTGAGAATTTCTTCTTTTTTTCTTGAAAATTCTAGATTAATCTCAGATTTTGGGGTTTTTTCTAGCAAATTTTCAGCATTTCAAACTCAGAAATTTCCTGTTTTTTCATAGAAAATTTCTGAGATTAATCTCCAAATTTCAGATTTTTTTTGTCTCAATTTAATGATATGAGCTCAGAATTTTTCTTTTTTTTGTCTGACAGTAACGTCAAAGTTTCTGAGATTTTTATAGCTAGCAAATTTTTTATTTTGAAATTTTGTATTTTCCACTTTTTGGAGTAAATTTCTGGCAGAAATTTCCTTGGTTTTTTTCGTTGTACATTCATCCCTCTGCTGCTCCTCATCCTCCTTTTTCTCCCTTTTCTCTTACTTTTCTCCCCATTTCTGTAGTTTTAAACCTTTCATTGATCTTCCAGCACCTCTCGGACTCCGTCACACCTGGAATCACACCTGGAATCTCACCTGGAGTCCTTGGAGTGCCACTTCACGTGGGATCTGGACCTCAGCAGGTCCAAGCTGCTGTGTCTCCAGGACGCGCTGGAGGACATCGGTCCAGAGTTGGGCTACTGCTGGCTGGGCCACATCTACAACCTGCAGGGCTTCATCCACCATCAGCTGGGCCTCCTGGAAGATGCGCGGCGTTTCCTCTGCAGGGCGGCCGAGGCTTTCCGCCAGCTGAGGAACACCGTCTCAGACGAAGGCCCCTGGTTGGTGGTGAACTACGGGAACATGGCCTGGCTGCACCACCGGCTAGGGGAGCGGGCGCGTAGCGGAGAGTATCTATCGAAGGTTGGAGCTCTGATGACGGAGTACCCGTCTCCATCTGCGGACGACCCGCACCCGGAGATCTGTGCCGAGAAAGCCTGGACTCTGATGAAGTTCAATCAGAAGCTGCTGGCTGTAGATTATTTCCAGAAAGCCATCAGGATGCAACCAGACATGGTGGAGTGGCACACCAGCCGGGTGCTAGCGTTGGTCAAAGCCTTTAAGAAACAAAGCCTGGACTCTGACATCCTGGAGAAGGTGAAGATCGCCAAACAGCACGACCCAGAGAACTTGTACCTTGTTGCTCTCTACCTGGAAGCCCAAGCTCAGAAAGGAGCAAGGATTCAAGATGAAGCACAAAAACTGGCAAGGAGAGTGCTAGCAAAGCCGGTTAGCAGCTACAGCGGCGTGAAACCGTTGCTACGGCTCTACAGGATCCACGTCTCCATGGACGAAGCTGTTGATTTAGCAGAGGAGGCTCTGGAGAGACACCCCAGCGCGCGATACATCAAGAAATGCACTGCAATCTGCTACAAAAGGAAAGTCTTTTCCCAAAGCAACAACCACCTGGATCGCAGCCTAATGGACAGAGCAATCAGCCTTCACAAACAAACCATCGCTCTCTACCCTCAGTCCTCCCTTAAGATGCAGATATCTTTGGCAAACATGTATGTGAAATCAAACCAGCGAGCTGAAGCCGAAGACGCGTTTGAGGAGCTGCTGAGAAGAGACTTGGATCCTGAAGAGGAGCAGATGGTTTGCAGCTTCTATGCCAAATATCTGCAGTACAGTCAGAAGGAGAGGAAGAAGTCTGTCCGGTTCTACATGAGGGCAGCAGCGATTCCTCACCACAGCTTCTACCGGGACGACAGCATCAGGCGGCTGGAGAGGATGAGCGAAGAGAAACGGCAGCCGATGAGCGGAGACATAGAAGACTTCCTGGTTCATTTGTCCATCTGAAAACCCAAAGTGGTGAAAGATTCTGGCATTTTATTGCACAGTCAAGTAACAATGTTACCGTCAGTTGTCAAAAAGTGTTACATATATAAAATGACTTAAAATAAATTTTATTTTATAATGTAACAGCTTAAAATTTGGCCTCTGTCTTTTTAAGAAGCTCCTGCTCTTTCTGAAGCTCTGCCTCCAGGAAGTCATCCCAACATGGCTCCTCTATTAACATTTTCACGACGTTTTACCAGCGTTGCTCTGAGAAGCTGCTCCTATAATGAGCTCAGCAGCTCCATCAGGTGTTTGCCAATTGCTGCTGGCTAGTCTGAAGGAGCTGAGTGGGGGAGGAGCTGTGCCTCGAAGGCGGGGCTAGGTCCATCCGGGCGTTTTTCACAGCTGAGTGGTTGCCATGGAGATTAAAGGATTTCTCAAACATGCATGAAGGAATCAAAGCAACACTCCAGGTTTGTTTCTGATGATGGAAAAACATCATAACATGATGGAAAGTTTAAAACTGTCAATTTTACATCATTCTACTCCTTAATAAAAGGGTTAATAAAAGGGTCCATTACATAAGATTTGCATTTTGTGCATTTTTGTTCTTCCATTTGAGTCTCAATTGCTTAAAAAACAAGTATTAAAAAAACACCCAGACTGTTTTTGGAAATAAATTCATGTTTTTTTTTTTAATTAGCCATTCCAAAAGCCTCATTTGTCGAGCCACAATTGACTGGCACCGTTACCTAGCAACCCCAGCAGAATTCCACCCGTTACCTAGCAACCCAGGCTGAGCTCCAGCACCTTTGGTCAGCTACACCAGTAAATCTGATGCTGGATGGATATAAAAGGACTTTGCGCTAATTTGATGGTTAAATAACAGATTAAAAACAGAAAATGTCTTATTGAGCTCATTTATTTATTCATTTATTTAGCAGAAAAAGGGGTTTCTGAATTGAAAATGTTGTTTTGTTGATGTAGTCTTCAGTTAAACTGTGATTAATTAAAGACTCTGCAATCGAGTCCCACCAACCAGTGATGATGCAGAGCATAAAACAAACTTAGAATCACAGTGAAAGTTTATTTAAAAAAACAAGCTCTTTGGTTTAGAAATGTTCTAAAAACATCAGATTTTTTTACAGAGTGAGTGGTGTTGGATCAGTGCTCTCAGAAAGTAGCCGGAGCTGCTGCGGATAAAACTGGAAATGTAAAACTTGTGTTCAGTTCGTGGAGGAATCGGAGAGTTAAAGCTCTTCCTTCTTCTTCAGGATTATCTGCCGCACCATGTCGGCGATCTTCGGCCGGATCTCCATGATGGGAACCTTCGGCCCCCAGCCGTCCACCACTCTGCCATCAACGTCGATGAGGAACTTCCAGAAGTTCCAGTCAGGCTCTTTTCCAGACACCTCTGCACAGAAAGAGACTTTCAAAACATTTCCTGCTTTTCTTTGCAACGAGGAAAAACAGAAAATATTTAGATTCCAAAGAAACGACACGCTGTTGTGAAACACCAGCTCTGTTTTTACACACTGAGCTGTTTGTCTGTTTCTCAGCGTCACTTCTCTTGCTAACTTCCGCAGTTGCTAATAGCAGTTAGCATCGTCAACATTAGCGTTGCGCAACAAAAAATACAAATCATCCGGCTGGAACTGATGGCGCTAAGAGGTAAAACATAATTTAACGAAGCTTTGATTTAAAAAATCGATGTCCTGGAATCGATACTTGGGACTCACCTGCCAGGTATTTGTACACATTGTTGGCTCCTGTTCCAACCACAGCGATTTTGCTGAACAGCGGGAAGGAGGCTCCGTAAACGGTTCGCACGAAGCTGTCGATCTCCTTGTCGCTGCCGGGTTCCTGCTGGCCGAACTGGTTGCAGGGGAAAGCCAGGACATTGAAGTGAAACGGGCCGAAGTCCCGCTGCAGCTGCTGCAGGTCTCGGTAGTGCTGGTCGGTGAAACCGCACTCACTGGCGACGTTCACCACCAGGGACACCTGAGTCCGCAGAATCACCAAATCAGTTACAAATGTCACTAAACACTTAAGGAAGCTTACGGAAACTCAGTGATGCCAAGGTTGTCGATTCAAAATTGACTGAAATGTGCAGCGTAATGGTTTCTGGACAAAGTTTTTAATGGTCATAAGTCTTCAGATCTAAGAAAACAAACTGTTAGCAGAGGTAGGCATATTTCTGCTATCAGCAGAGCTAATTTTTTTATTAGTGCCGAAGCGTTTTTGCTAACTTTGCTAATGTTTAGCATGCTTAGCTTCCTCTGAATTAATTTTTCCAGATAAATTCTGAAGCGATAATTTACTCGGCTGTTTTGTAAACTGTCAGTTGAGTAAAATTTGACATATTTGTTGAGTTTTTGGTATTGACTTAAGAATTTTGTTAGCAAGAATCCTTAGAAAGCTATGTAGCTTTCTAGCTAGATATTTAGCTAGAAAAGTATAGACAGCTACATATTTAACTAAATGTTTAGCTTGCTAGCTATTTTTTAGATTGATTAAACTAAATATTTACCTAGCAAGCTAAATATTTAGCTTAAAGCAAAAATATTTAATTCAAAATTAAATATTTACTTGGTAAGCTAAATATTTAGCATGACATTTTTTTTGCTTGAAGTTAAATATTTAATTTGAATAGTTACTAGTTAGACTAAATATTTATTAACAATTTTTTTTTCTTGAAGCAGAAATACTTAATGCAGAACTACATATTCACATTGTAAGCTAAATATTTAGCTTACTAATTACATATTCAGTTTGAAACTGTGACGTTTATAAATTAATTAATATTATGGTTAAAATGTGACTGAAAAATTAACCCAATTTTTTCATGTTAGGCTAAAGATCCCAAATCATTACTCTTAATTTTTGACTGTGTAACTTTACAAACTGCACCTTGTATTAGACAACAGTGTGGTGAAGATGACCCACGTAGCACGTTTGAACATGCTGACTGCTAAAAACTACTCCACACAACCCCAGACTGAAAAAAATTATGTTTTCAGGCAGGATTATGAACAAATTAGTTTAAGCAGCAGTAAAAACAATCAGGAAAACCGCAGGAAAACAAATCAGACTCCAGTTATCAAGCGTTATTACATGCCAATACTGAACAATTGAAGCTTATATAACTACTTGTTTTTATGTTTAGTTCAAAAGTCAAAGTCTTAACATTTTTCTACTTTTGATTTATATCCTATAATAAAATATTTTTGCCTTATATTCCTTAAGTTTCACTCATCATATACTCCAGATGGCATTGAAAGCATTTTTTCACGAAAATCTATAAGTTTAATAAATAAAAAGTGCAAAACTTAGCCATGCAAAGTTAAATATCTCTAAATGGTCATAGGAATGTGTTAGTTTTGTGCTTTTAAGTGAAGGTTAGACAGAAAGTGATGACCGTACCTGGTTAGAATGAAATCTACGGAGCTGCTGCAGCTGCAGGCCTCCTGCCACGTAGGCTGCAGCCGAACATCCCGAGCAGAGCCGCAGTTAGCCACATCTACAGATAGGAGGAAAATTCACATGCAAGCATTCAGGCATGCAGCTAAATGAACCGAACTCACCGAACCGCGGTACTTCTCCAAAGAAACCAGCTTCCCTCTGCTGTTTACCACCTTAAAAGTGTAAAAGTCTTTCTCTTTGCTCTCTGTCAGGTCGATTAATGTCATTAATAACAATAATAATGTTGCTGATGTAACGGAGAGCGCAGCGGGAAGCATCTTAAAAAGACAAACTGCCAACTCAACAGAGGAGAGAGAAGCGTCAAAACTAAGGGGAAAGCCAGGACGTTGCCAGCCGCTGTCAAGGTACAAGCAGTCAGGACAAGACTTCCGGTGCCCGTTAAGGTATGGAGCTAAATTGGGGCCATGTTTTAAAAAAAAAAATAAATAAATAAATAAATAAAAAATACATACATCAAAGTGGGGAAAAAAAAGGTTTGAAGCTGAGAAATTATTTTAAAACTGAAAAATAATTTGAAATTTTAAAAAGATTTGAAACAAAAAAAAAAAATCATTTAAAAAATTTAAAACTTATTTTGAAACTGAAAAAGATTTGAAATTGAGAAGAACTGAAACAAAAAAAAGTTTGAACTTGAAAAACAGATTTGAAACTGAACAATTATTTTGAAACTAAAAAAGTTTGAAATTGAAAATAAAAGTTAAAAACTGAAAGATGATTAAATGGAGAAAAATGGTTCAAAACTACTTTTCGGATACAAGTTTTTTTTTTCTTTGAACAAATTTTATAGCCCTAATTTAGCTCCATACTAATGCCTTCAAAATAAACGTGTATTTAGGAAAAAAAGCTTCCCATAACGATCATTTTTGTTTTTCCATTTATAAGTATCCCACTTATCAGCAGAATAACATAACCGACAATTCTTTAAAAGTAATTATTCATAAACTGGTCAGTTTTTCAGTCGACTTAAATAGAGGCGTGATGAATGTGTTCCCATTTATTGTTTCCTCTTTATTGTGACACACAGTTCTATTTATGCTTAAATTTGTCCAACTCTTTTTGTAATTCTGAACCAATCCGGGTCACAGTTTGTGACAGAAACAAATTGCAGTTGTTCACATAAACAAAACCACTCCAGTATTATACTTTAAAAGTGCTTCTTATCATTTTGTTTTATGATTGAAAGTAGGAATTGTTGCAGTAATTTATTTTCCGAGCGGTACCTAAACGTAGCGGCAGACACGCCCCCTCTTCGTCATCGCCGGTACGCCCTTTATTGATGGGAATTTCGCTGCTTTCTTGGGATTCGATTCATTTAGCTAAGCTACGTTTAATTCTATTCATCTCCAAAATACTTGTTAAATGTCCTTATTTAACAGGTTTTTGCTAGAAGTTTGCTGGAAGTTTTTTAATTCTGTTGATAAAAGTCCAATGAGAAACAAGCATCTTGATATCTACTTCTGAAATTAAACTAATTTATATCTTAATAGATGCAGAGCAGAAAGAGAAGGAGCAAGTTCAAACCATCTCATCCAGCGATTGTATCCCCTACTCCAAAATCTCTCTGCCAGACTTTCCAAAAAGGAGTGGTAAAAGCAAATGAGGTGGATTAGTGGTGATGACATGTATTTGCACAGGTATTTACAGTTTTTCCTCATGTATAAAAATGTTTTGCTTGTATTTGCATAGTTTTATTTTCATATTTAATAAATAGTCTGTTTATTAGTAAACATTTTTTGCCATTCATTTGCACATTCCTTTGGATCAAAGTATATATTGTTATATGTTTTGTTATTTTTGATAACTATCGTTTATTTAGTAATTTTACCCTTAGTTTTCATTATGTTATTGTTTCTGTGAATCTGCATGCCTCAATGTCACACCTGAACTTCCCTGATTAAAGGGGAATATATCTATTGTATTTAATTACTTTGTCGATGTGTTTTTATTTTTATATGGATTGTATACTTGGATTATATATTTTTCTATATTGTTGTTTTACTGTTGTTTCTTTTTAATATCTGTATTTTAATTTTGCAAAATGAACTAAACTAAATCTTAAAAAAATCTATTCAATTCTCTTCTATTGACCTGAAGTTCAGCTATTAGCATGTCATGCTAGTTATAAGACTGTCATACAGCAACAGTCTTCAGTCAACAACTCTTTGAAGATAGTTGGGTGAAATGAGTAACGAAAATATTTAATTTCCTTTGGGATTAATAAAGTATATTTTTAAGGTTTTATCGGCTCTAGTGGCCTTTATTTGATAGTTAATTGACAGGAAAATGGGTAATGAGAGACGGGGAAGATATGCGGCAGGTGTTGCCTGGCCGGGAATCGAACCTGGGACATCCGCGTCGAGGACTTTGGCCTTCATATATGGGCTGCGCTTAGCCTCTGCGCCACCACAGCACTCCCTAATAAGGTATTTTTGAACTGAATTGAAAAAAAGGACTCGGCTCTTTAACCGAGTGGGCACATCGAGCCGGGTCGGTCACGAACAGCACAATGCTAACTCCCACAGTGCAGCGGGGTAATGTATTAACATGGCGTAGGTGGTCGCCGTTCGGATCAGGGCCGTGGGATTGGAACAACATAATGTAAAACAGAACTATGGAGCCAACTAAACAATAATCCCGGATCAGCTTCAGCGCACAGAGTGAGTTATTTTCCCGCTCTTTAGTGTCGTAATGCTGAGAGGCTTCCTGTTCTCAGGTGACCTGATGCTCTGTGGCATTTGGGTGCCAGTGTTATTTACGACCCGGGCATAGCAGTTAGCATTGGCTAGCCTTCAGCTAACTCGGCTACGTAAAGAGTCTCCACAAAGTCAGTTGAAAGTTGAAACCCAGCCAGAGGAGCAGGAAACCTTTCCTAATTTTAACCCTTCTTTTTAATTAAACTTGTTACTCTTGCGGACCAGACGTTATGTGAGCTCCACCATCGCAGTCCTCCCTTCCCCCCGTCTGTAAGTTCTTAGTTTCTGTCCTAAACACCCAACATGAAACCCAGGTGGTGCAAAAAATGAACCTTAGCTTCACATTAATGCTTCTAATGGTTCAGTCTGCTGCCAGTTTCGTTTTCGTTTCCATTGAAAGATCAGTTTCAACCTCACATGAAACTACTAACATCCCTTAAAGACAGGAAGTTTATTTTTATTTAACAATAATT